ACAACAAAAATAGATGTATTGTAATCCGAAAAATGAATTTGTAAATTAATTGCACCTTTATTGAAATTAAAATAACTGATCCAAGTGCAACTTTCGGATAATAAGTGTGACATTACTGTAATTATTGAACAATAAAGTTCATGCCACTTTGAAGGAAAATTTACCAGTAAAAAAGAATTTGCTTATCACCATATTTGTATAAGAACGCACAATTATAAAATTTAAATTCAAACTCAGCGTTGCGACTGCACGCTCCAAAACAATAACACATTTCTAATAGCATTTTTCGGATTACAATACATCTATTTTTGTTGTCCTCTTATTACTGAGATTAAAAACAAGAACAAAATCTATTCCATACCTGAGGATGTCTGTAGGAACAGACGAAAGCTTGTAAAAGTAATAAGAACTTATGCAACAGAAATTTATAAAACAAGGATCTTTTCATTCATAAACAGGTTCAGGGTTTTTCTATATTATTTGAATTGTTCATGATGATGGATTTCTCACCAATTAAATCATTAACCTTTGTATTTGTTTTTTGTATGAATAATTCATGAATGAATATATATATATATATATATATATATATATATATATATATATATATATATATATATATATATGAGAGGGTGTGTAGGTGCATAGGAATTAACACTGCATGGTGGCTGTCAATTAACAACCTCAATGGGATCTCCAAACCACTTTGGAAGGTTGTCTATATAACTTACTGGAGGATTTCTCCCACTTTCCTTAATATTCTGGGAACCTATACATATAGTTTGCATTGACAGCAATCATGCAGTATTGATTTCTATGTTCACACTATCTATCTACACTCTATTGCTAATATTGAGCACTCTCTCCTATACCAAATGTTAAATACACTACATATATTTCTTTTTACAAATATCCTAGTCAAAGAAACTACAGATATGGTTTATATATAAAATGCATATAAAAATTCTTTGTTCCTACCTTGTATTAGACAAACAATATCTATGTAACACAAGTTTTTATGGCAATTTTGATATTGATTAATGGTGCAGGTATGGGTTCACTTCTCAGTCCTACTTTTATGTAGTTTCTACATGACACGTATAGAAAACAAAATCTTTAAAAATTCTGCCAAATCTATATTTTATATATCAGCGACATATTCATAAGAGGGGAAAAAAGACAATAAATAACCTTCAAGGAAAATTTTGTTCTACACTTCTGAATAATAGTAGTTTTTCTCATATACTCTAACTCTCAGTAAGCCCTTGCATCTTCTAATTTTATTGCCTTGCTTCGGGTGAAATGATTTAAAAACAAAAACAATATCTGTTTTTTTAATTCCAATTTTTTAACACTAAAATTAATTTCATTAGTCAAAATAAAAATATATTTAATAGATTGTATTCAAACTGAACTAACTATAAAATGGAGCTGTTCAAATTTGTTGTGGGAAATGCTACAATTTATTAATTTCTACATTTTTTACAATATCATTACTTTTAAGACAATTTGCATGTGCTCATGTGTACACACTTCAACTAGAATAATAAAAGATTTCTACAAAAACACATAAAGACATTCTGCATATGTTAAATTTTAAACAATGAAAAACAACCACTTAAAATTTCTGCAATAAAAGTTCACACAAAACCCTATTTTAAATAACAAAAATATTCATTGTTTATCATACATTTTATTAACATGAAAATGATAAGTTTTGTGGCTCTAAGAAAACAATTATGGTAACTAGAACAATATTTAGCAAGATCTTTTTTCTCAACAAAAAATATCTGCAGTAAACATTTTTAAAAAAATAGCTGTAAGAAGTCAGTATATATTATGGAATAGTGAATATCTGAGAAATAATGGTGCCATTTCTTCTTAAAAATTCTTGATACATTTAATCCAAAGAAAGATGTCCGTTTTTGAAGAAACTAATTTTCCATTCCTTTGTCTTCATTATTGTAAATGGTTCAAGAGTATCCAATGTTCAAAATGAATTTCTTTTATTGGCATTGGTAAGTCATACATTTCACAAGATTCTAATTTGTTGGACAATAAATATAGGAATTAAATCAGTCAAAAGCATATTTATAGGAAATACTTTTACCTACATTGGGTTACTATAAAAAGAAGGAACAAAATGCTTAAAATTGTTAATTGTCACCTTTCTTTTTTAAATAATAATTTTACAGTAGTCGAACTTATTTGAAAATGTAGCCACTATAAATTTTTTAAATAGCTATCATTTTTTTTTTTTGAGATGACTTTTCCTGACATGAATCTATAGATTATTTTTTTTTTTCAAATTTGCACACAACTTCAATGTCTGATGGTGGGAGGTAAATTCATATGACCAACATAGAGCACTTTACTTTCTAAGCCATTATCAGTGATGAAAATGAAAACTTACAGAATGGGCCAAATTGTCTGAATGCATATACAAACACGTTCACAATATTTTTTTTTTTCATCTCAACAACTGCTGTCATTGTGGGTTTGAGTTGCACTCTTAACTATTTCATGCCAGATTGTCTCTTTGCAAAGATGATATTGAAATTCAAGCAGAGAAAAATCCATTGGAATGTGAATGGAAGTGTCTAAAAGTTGAGAGCAAAAATACTTTTGCAAAAAGTTTAATGTTTCACCCATGAACTGTGGATATATTCAATGAACAATGTATTCCAATACATATATTTCTAAAGAATGGATTTTTATTGTTAATCTGACATTTCTTTATTACTTCAAACATTATTTTTAGTAGCAACCAGTGTCTGAATAAGGCGGCCTGTTTTTTAAACAGTGTGTATTGCATTAACCAGCCTGTGTACTTGAGAAAACAATAAAGAGAATTTTCTCTCCAGCAGGGTTCAAACCTGAATCCCCCTTTGTAGGAGAAACCATCCTCTGAGCCAACACATTTTAGACTACTCAACCACTAAGTGTCACAGGCCAGCCACGTTTTATTTATTCCTTCTTTGGATCTTCTCAAAAGCCCATATCTGCTTGATTTTGTATCCAAAATGTAAACAAGGAATTAATGGATTTATATTTTTAATCCAACATTTTGTTTTTACTCTAAGTAGGACCTTGCTGGGTTGTGATGCTTTCAGTTGCTAAGTTATCTACAATATGCCAGATCATATGGAGGTTTCTTCTATAAGGGGACGCAGGTTTGAACCCTGTCAGAGAGCACATTTTCTTTATTAGTTTTTTTTTTTTTTTTTTTTTTGAGAGCATAAGCCAGTAGAAATAATACACACTGTTTAAAAAAAAAAACAGCATCTACTCAAATATGGGTATCCACTAAAATTAATGTTTGAAGTAAAAACTACGTATAAATGTATCCATGCACACACCCACACACTGATACCTCAGTCAGAAATTTCCAATAAGACAATGTTTGATAATGCTATTCAAGTAATATATTCATTGTGAAAATATATCAAAGTAAGGAACAAAGGAAAGATCTTTAAGATTGGTTAAAGAATCTTGACTTACTGTTAACATTAAACAGAAATCAGTTTCTTTTTGGTTTTTGTATCTTTCAGTTTAAAACTGATAACAACCTGGTTCTAACTTTTGTGCTTCACATTTTCAAGTAATTGTTGGTTACAATTGAATGGCAATGACTGCTAAAAACCTCACCTCCTTAAATTTATAGATAAATCCTACAGATGAATGCTAGGATTTCTTTCTAACTAATAAAAAAAATGGACAATTCAGTCTTATCCCTACATTTTTTATTTTCTTATCTTGAAAGTAAGAAGGCTAACCACTTGACTGCATCCCATTTGTGGATAAATACTGTTTTTTTTATTTTTTTACTGTCCTATAATTGCTTTACTTTGTTATCTTATATTGTTCCTTTCCTGTATTATATTGTTCCTTTCCTGTATTATATCACTCTGTTCTTCATTTTATATCAATTATACTTTAAAAAAAAAAACAAAAAAAAACTATTAATTGTCAGCTCTTTTTTTATTTTTTTTTTTATCGTAGACAAGGCTTTCACTAATTCAAATGATTCTGAAGTATAGCAAAATGAAGAATGCACAGAACGAAGTGAACATATTTGTTTATAATTAACTAAATAATGAAGAAATCATTTGGGAAGTGAACATTGTTGTTTTCACAGGTGAGGTCAGTCAAAAAATATTTATAAATATAAAAATACAAAAGTTTAAAAAAAAATTAAAAAAATAATAATTCCTAAGTCAGCTGGTCAGAACCAATTCTCTACAATTTAACCTCACAGCCTTAACCATAATTAGACAATAATAGCCAGAAAACAGTGGAAAAGATATAATAATGAACTTTTAAATGATAAAGAATGGGTTGAAGAGTGGATATTTAAACACAGCCTGATAAAAAGTTACTAGGGCACCCAGTGAGGGTCAAACTAATTTGCAATAGCCTGTAATCTAACCATCACTGTACAAAAGGCATTCAAAGAATGGTTTTAAGTACAAACGTCTTGCCAAAAAAACAAAAAAAGAAAGCCTTTGGCTCGATAAAGTATTTACCAAGGAAATAAAATATACCTTTGCAACAGGAACAGATTTAATCACTAAGATAGTAATCAAAACGTTAGCTTTATGAGATCAATTGTAATTGCACTTGTTCATTTTTTTTTTTTTTTTATTACTGGCCTTGGAAAATCTTTCTACATTTTGTTTGTATTTACACTTTGAAATGCCTAAGAATACAAATAGCTGCTGGACTGTATATTTCCTTATCAGAAGAATGAATGAAGTTAAAACTGTAAAGTTTAAACACAATAAGAGACAGAAAAAAATTGAATAAAAAGCATTGACTGTACAAGTGATCATCAATGATGGTGCAAATATGGACATCATTTCCAATTGCAGACTAAGAAATGGAGCAGCAATGAAACCAACAAGTTTTGAAGCTAAAAACTCGATATATATAAACTTATTATTATAGTCATTATACATTCAAATACACAATCATGCATAACTTAATTGTTACAGTCTGCATCAAACGGTCTGTTGGGGCTGGATATAATGACCATCACCATCAGGACCCACAGAGACAACTGAAAGATAGAAATATAAAAGGTTATTTGCAGAAATTGTAATAAGCAGTTTTAGTTTTTATTTGTTATGCTATAAAATAATCTCTCAAATTATGGCTTTTTAGAAAAACTGCATCATAGAAAATATCTGTATTGTATTAGTGTTTATAATAACAAATTATCACAATTTCCTTTCAATATCTGTTTTTTTTCCTCACTTTCTCTGTTTATTTTTAATAAAAATTTTTATGGTAATTGTATGAAATATAAATTGAAGCTATTTGTAAAAATATATAATTTTATTTCTGGAAAAGAAGAAGAAAAGAAATGGTAACTTTTATAAAATAAAATTATGCACTTTTTCTTGTAAGAATAAAGGATAGCCTTCAAAAAATTAGCAGCCTTAATCTAATACAAAATCAAACTATAAATGTGATAGTTAAAGAATTCAATATTTAATATACTGCAATATCTATAACATGTTTGAATAAAAAAAACTTTTGATCAGATTTTTGGGGAGTGGGTTGGACAGAGAACTTTTCAACACCTTGCATGAAACAGATGTCTAAACTATTTCAGCTTTCATAATGAAATTAAAGCTCATTAATATCAACAATCAAATTGACAAGTCCAACTTTTTAAAATGCTTGCCAACATATATAAAATTTAATAACACAGAATTAAAACTCATGCTATTGTAGACATACTTATACATCTTTACAAAACTTACATTGCCTGCTGTTGATATATACATACATTTTCAAGACACTGTGAAATGGTGTTCCCTGATATCTGTTATATGAGAAATAGGTGTCAGTGTCTTTGTAGTCATTTATTTCCAGTAAATGGCAATTTCCTATTACCAAAATGGGCCAGCATAGTCAGGCAACAATGCTAATACAATATATCAGTGAAAAGTGTTAAAAAAAGAATTCAACTTGGATTGTATGCTGCAAAATTCCAGAGGTTTTCCTCAATGAAAGAAAATAGAAAAGATATTTTGATAGAGAAAGAAATATTTTGGTTTTCTGATCTTGAAAAATTGTGGTAAAAACAAATTTGCATGGTGAAATCTTTCCTGCTAGATTTGGCTCAATAAATGAATTCTCTTAAAATACAATTCCTTTTGACTGAGCTAATTCACGAGAGAGAGAGAGAAAAAAAAAGCAGCTCATATAAAAACTTTTTTCTCTTTTTATTAAAAACATTTTCATTTAATGAAAGTCACTAGTTTCCTAACCAGTGAACTCATGTGAAGTTAGAAAACATTTGGTTTTTCATATTGATTGTTGCAAGGAATGTTTTATGAAATTCCACTCAATAATACTATAATTAATTATTAGTATTACGACAACTGAATATATATATATATATATATATATATATATATATATATATATATAATGAATAAAGACAAAAGGAGAACTTTTCTTTACCTATGTCTTTCATCTTCTGAAAGCAAATGTAAGGATTTTACTTTGCGACATGTATTTATAAGCGAAGTAAAAAAAAAATATCGTCAGGTTTTACAAAATTTTTAAATTTAATAACACTTAGCTGAATAATATTTACGAGCCTTCTTAAATTTAAAAATTTGGAAAACCTAACAATATTTTTTACTTCTGCTTATAAATATATGTTGCAAAGTAGAAATCCTTATATTTGCCTTGATAATATCCATCAGAGGATGAAATGCGTCAGTAAAGAAAAGTTTTCCTTTTGTCTTTATTGGTATTGTCTTACAGATATAAATAAAATATATATAAATTTTTACACACACACACGCAATAACAGAAATTGTTAACACCTAATAAAACGTGATCTAGTAAATTACTAGAGTTTAATGCATTTAAAGGTAAGCCAATTTTTACAAACAAACTGCTCAATATTAAAAATTAGAGCAACAATAGTTAACAAAGAAAAATTCAAAAGACTTATCTTTCAGATTTTGAGTCTCGCAGATACCCTACTTGCCACAGTCAGATAAATCAGATTATGGGTTCATTCCCAAATTTCAAGCTATGCCATTCAGATCCCTTTAGTGTAATTCTATTCACCCAGCTTTAAACTAACATGTTTATTTTCAGACAACAAAAGTAACATCTACTTCCTTAAAAAGTGCCGTCTTTAATGGCAGTTGTTATAGATTAAATGATATATCTTCTGTTAAATAATAAATAAAAAAAAAAATTCATTAATGAAGATATGAACCTTAAAAGATCTTACTTGTATTTGTGTGATGCGTCAGTTTTGAAGGCTCACATAAAGAAACGGCTATTGGAGTGGTGGCCAGAACTGTTGAGGGGCAGTAGATATGCTCAGAATGAGGGACCATCTCATTAGTGTGGAAAGCTGTATTGGGAATAAGTGGCTGTCCTTGATAAACATTGCTTAATACACTAGGGTAGCCAGGGACAGGCAAAGCATAGTAGGCAGCATCTGAACCTACAGAGAAATGGGACCAGCTATAAGCTTAAATATTTTAAAGTAGCAAAATGCATTGATTTAATTTCAGAACCAGGCTGTAAAAAAAAATTAATTTTTTTTTTTTTTTTTTTCAGAATAAAATGAACAATTAAGTGGTGGGGGGAAAACATTTGTAATTTTATTATTATAAAGCTATTTTATAGAATTAAAAAAGAAACAAAATTTAAAAAAAAAAAAAAAAAAAAAAAGGATATCTTGTGACTTTATACGCAAGAATGAGTTTACTTGTACAATTATAAATTAATGGATATATTTAATTAATTATACAATTACATTGGTTATTTTCTGTGTGAGCAGTCTAGGATTTGTAGCAATACAAATAACTGTTTTTGCCTGGAAGAAAGAATTCTGCTTTTTTAAACCATTAAAAGAAAAAATATCCAAAGAAAGCTAATACAACACTTACCATCAAAACATGATCAAAAAATGATGGCCATATTTAATTTTACAATTGTATTAGTTATATTCTTTTTGCATGTATAATCTACAAGGTGTCCCTAAAACCTAGACACATAAGAAATCTCATTAACTCTATTTTTTTTAACCCCCACAGATTAAACATGGTTTTGTCAAAAGAAGAAAGAACTGGCTTCTTTTCTAGAGTATGCTAATGAAAATCACAGATGCAACACACTTAATTGAATGCATAAAGAGTGAATGTGCTAAAATTGATGACAATGTGGAGTCATTGAATCTTGCAAATGATGGAAATAATATTGAAGATGTTATTTGTTAACATTCCAATTCAAAAAATGTTAAAAATTTCATTTCTTGAAAATATTCAGTTTTTCCTATGTGACTAAAATTTAGGGACACCCTGTAAAAATGTTTATCTATACAATTAACCTTATTGTCATGTAAAAAAAAAAAAAATTCCGCTTTTTAAATCATTAAACAGTCAAAGAAAGCTAACATGGCTTGTACTATAAAAAATGATGACAGCAAAATTTAAATAATTCTTGAATTGTAATGGTTATATTTTCTGAAGGAGTCATCTAAGATTTTGATCAATACAATTAACTCTATTGTAAGAAAGAATTGTTTTTTTTCTGTCATTAGAAGTAAAAATATCCAAAGAAAGCTAACACAAATTGTACTGTCAAAAAAATGACAAGACGTATTTAAGTAAATTTGCAATTGCATTAGTTATGTTTTCTGAGATCATTAAAAATAAAAAAATGTCCAAAGCAAACAGGAAACAAAAGAAGCAAAGTACTAGCAGCCTGAGTTCCCCAACATACTAATGAAATATTCTGCTTTTATCTTCTTAACACAAGGCATGTTTGCTTAATGTCTCCTGTTACCAGAAGAGCAGAATATTTTATTATATCAAATAGAGGAGAAGGAAGCATGACTGATAAATAAAGTCACAAGAATGGTAGAATAGATTTTTGCTACATTATTTTAGAATATAAGAGTTTGTTTTATAATTGTTAAGATTTATCAGGAAAAGAAGGCACAAGATATTAAGATAGGTGAAGTTATTTTTTTCTTCTGCTAAATGGATTCCTAATTTCAGTGAACACAAAAATATTTATGAAAAACTTACAAGTGTCATAGAATTTAAACGCTTTACAACTACATCTATCTATATATATATATTAAAATTCTGTGACTTATATTAGTTTGTCTGTCCGTTCGTCACACCCTCTAAAATATCCATACATTGACCAAATTTTGAGGAGAAGTAAGGGGGTTACAAAGTACAATCGGTTTTACTAGGGTGCATGACTTAGTACAGTAAATTTTCATTCATTTTTAAAAACTTTAATGATTAAAATAACAAATACTTATTTGGTAAAAATGCAATAGTTTTTTGCATAACATTTTTTTAAGTTTTTATATATATTTAATTCTGGTAAAATATGACACAGTAGTAGCACTATAAATATAAACACAGTAGGGAGAGTAGAGTTTGTAAATCTCGACAAAAAATAGTGATAACTTCAACAATACTAAATATTGTAAAGATTTCAACATACGTCAGTGTTTTGCAAAAAAATTCTAGTATACAAAATTACTGAAATTAAATTTTCTTTTAAAATTCATTATTCATCTATTTTCCTTCTGCAGCTGAATGTCTACTTGTTGATTATCTGCTAGAAAGTGAGACAAGAAAAAAGCAGCTGTAAGAGACTGAAAAAGAAAAAAAAAAGAAGAAAGCCATCCATGAGAAAGACAACATATTAAGACAGTCACTGGCAGCTTTTTTAAAGCTTTATATCTACAACTAAATAATCTTTTCATATACTTCTTTTTTAATTGTTTCATCCCATGTAAAGCAAAAATCAGACTAAGACACAAGGAGTTAAAAAAAAAAACAAAAAAAAAACGAGAAAACATTAGTGTGGGGAAAGGAAAATAAAATAATAGGGTTCAGCAAAACAAAAGATGGGGATTGAGGTCATGTTTAAATTTTTGAAGATCATAATTAACAGGCAAGCAAGAAACCAGGAGAAATGTGCAAGAAAAAAAAATGTTAGAATAGAATTTACGGTTACATCTAGCTAATTCAATGGTAAAATGATGAGACCTAGCTGCCAAATTAATAAAGGTACCATGGTGGCAAGCTCATTAGAACAATTACCATGAAAATATATATAGAAAAGACAGAGGGAAGCCATGTCATGACTGAGAAATTGACTGAACTCGAGATGTCAGGTTGGGACTAATAATACAGACCCTTTGAATTTTGTCAAGAATCTTGAGATATATAGCAGGAGCAATATTCAATGCATAAGCAAATGGCTGATTTATAATTGTGCAAGATGGATTCTTGCGAGAATAATTATCTGGTATGACACAGTGAACCAACTTTCCTAGCAGCAGACCTAGCAATTGATTCAATATAATCATTCCACTTCATGTCAATGGAGAATGTTAGCCTGATAAGGTACAATGAGTCACTCTTCTGGAGTTTAGCATCATTTAATACTAATGGAAAACAAAAAATGATTCTCTAAGATGACTAAAAGAGCAGTTTTGTTTAGGAGGCATTAAAATTTACAAACCATTTCTTGCCCTAGGTAACAACTGATTCAAGATTATTTGTGAGATCAGCTGCTATTTTTATTTCTTTATGGAAGAAATCTAAAAAAGGATTTGTAACCTGATAACCCAAGATCTAATCTCCTATGCAGCATCTCCTCATTGCATTAAGAAGGGCAGTCAGAGGGTACGCTGTGAAATTTTTTTTTTACAAATATTTCCACTACATAAAAAAATTATATATGTAAATCTCCATGTTAGCAGGAAAGTGGAGATAATGTGACTAAATGGAAAACCTGCCCAGAAAATGCATTTCACCTCTTTGTGGCAGGTGTCTTTAGGTCCTAATGAAAGGCAAACCCATATGTAAGCATTGTAATTTTGAAGTAATAAATATCTCTATCAGACACTAAAATTAGAAAGTTTTTTTCTTCTTCTTTCCATATTGAAGCTGTTAATATCAACTAGATTTCAAATTAACCCACTCCAAGTTTTTGTTCTCATTAGTCCATATACATTTTGGCTACTATTGCTTTTGCCAGGATACGGCTGCACAATGCAGCATATGAAGCAATAAAGAAAATACAGAGATCTATTCAGAGTGTGCTAATTTCAATTCTAGTAGACATTAACAGCTTCAGTACCTAACACAAAAAAAAAACAAAAACTGCCTGTATTATCTGATAAAGACATTTATTACCTCTCTTCCAAATAGGTTTGTCTTTCATTCTGACCTGAAGATGCCTGCTATAAAAAGAGGAAACATGCTGATCAACTTTTCAACTTTCTCACATCGTCTCCACATAGGTACATCAGTATATATGCAAAATACATTAGATAAATTCTATCCAAAGAGAGATTTCCGGGAATAAAAATAAGATTTTATTCACATACTGCATGTAAATTTCAAATTTAGTTTTCTATAAAAAAAAAAGAAAGAGAAAAAAAAAGGCACGGAACAAATTGAAAAACAAATTAGAAATACTGTTTTAAAAGCAGAACCTCTGAAGACTGGAAATTTTACCAAGATATTTCTGGGATAAAATTGATATTTAAAAGTTAAGTAATCTTTTCATATAATCTTATTTTTATATAAATATATATAATAATGGACTCTCCCATTGTCTTCAACGTATGAGTGTCTTTCAGTTCAGTTTTTATGTTTATGTCTCGTATAAGACAACAATCCTGCACATAAGTCCACATGAAGGACATGCTGAAGGGTTGACCATCATATGGGCTGATGTATTGGCCCAAGATTTAGTGTTGGTTTGTAATTCTCTTAGATGGTTGAGACGATTCTTTTCAAGGTTAGTTATACCTTGGTGGCAGGTGTTTCTCCAGTTTGCTTGGTTTTCAACAGCAAGTTCAAACTCCTCTATAGGGATGTTTGCAGCATTTAAGTTGTATTTGAGTTTGTCCTTGAAGTGTAACCAAGGATGGCCTACAATATGCTTACCATGAAAAAGTTGGCTATACATGAGGATTTTATCATCACTCATTCTGATGACATGACCAGCCCATCTGAGTTGTGATTGCATCAGAAAGGATTCAATACCACATTTTATGAAAAGATCAGGGTTAGAGATTTTGTCCTGCTATGTATAACCACATATTGAACGAAGACAGCATCTATGAAAAGCAAGTTGATTGATGTGTGTTCTGTATGGCAGCTATGATTCTGACCCATAAAGTGTGGTGAGAATGACTGCTCAATATACAGATTTTTGTTTTCATTGAAATCCTACGAACATCCCACGGGCAATGCTTAAGCTCTCCAAACACATTGGTTGCCTTTGCTTCCTAAGTACGTGAAGGATTTAACATACTTCATGTTGTTATTGCCAACAGTAATGGGAATGATTGGAAAGGTATGGGCGGGTGGTTTTTATTTTACACCCTTGACCTGCTTAGGTGTAGTTCTTGGTTGATGGACAACTTCAGTTTTCTTTATGCTTATAGTTAGTCCA